CATGGCTTCCAAACACAAAAGGCAATAATGCTCTAACATAAATTGAATCCCTGTAGCAAAATTATTAATATTTATTCCCTCACCTACTAGGGAATTATTGTTATTTAGGTAAAATAATACATCCAATAACTCAGAGCATCAGAAGAGTCTCCATAACTCCCAGGTGGTGGATGATGCCTGGGTGCCATCCTGTCAAGTCCGTGAACTTCTATTTTAGATTTTTGCAGTGATGAAACTGTGTGTGCCAACTGGTGCTCGGCCACAGAACCCATCACCAGCCTTCCGGCAGCAGAGCCTTCACTTGCCACTCTTAGAAAGATCCAGAAATAGTTCTGCTTGGGAAGAAGGAGTGTTGACAGTTGAGCAGAGTCAAAAAGTGACAACATATGAGGAAGAATTCTGAAAATTTTGTATTATTTACAAGTGGATACAGAATTTTCTACAAGTGTTCTTAAGCGAATAAATAAAATTAGTTCCATGAGAGCACTTATGAGATAATGGCATTCCTAGAACATGGGAGACTTGAATTTTATTTGCTAAGGTACCGTGCGACAGTACCAAACTGAAGGAGGATAGAGACTTAAGACCAGGTCAGAAAGACAAGTTCTGGCTAGTTTTGCCACCTGTAAAATATGTTGTACACCATCAAATGTGCAGAGCAGAGGTGAGAGCTAAGTAGGCAATGCACGGAAGAGAATGTACTTATGGAATGGAAACACAGTGTCAGAGGTCAAAGACAACACCTGCTAAAAGTTCCGGGTCTGGGAGAAAGATGGAGGCAGGCAGGTTGATAGGTGTGATAATGTCAGGGTTTGGTTTAGGCACAGTTCAGGTACACATGTCTACTACTTCAGGTTCAATGTATTTTATGCCATGCAGCACCATGATGCCCTAAGCATCATGAGAGCAAATCTTGACCTTCTGCAACTCTGAAAGCATCTGTTTCCAGTTACTTATCATTTGGGGGAAAGAGAGTGCATTGCTACTTAAATGTATTTGACTTGATAAATAGAGTCTTCTGTTCATAGCTAAGTGCCATTGATATATTTACATGACCTCATTTAAACCATCTAATAACTCCAGCAAGGAAGACAATCACCTTAAGTTCTTTTTAAGTTTTAAGTTCAAAACCACTTATTTATTTTGAGACAGGGTCTTGCTATGTATCTTAGGCTGGCCTGGGACCCACTAAGTCCAGACTGACCTTGAGGAACTTACTGTATAGTCCAGGCTGGCCTTGAAGTTACACTCTTCCTACCTCGGTCTTTTGGGTATTAAGATTACCAGTGCATACCACCATGCCACTATAATCACCTTCTGATAAAGAAGTTGCCTTGGAGGTTAAATGATTTGTCATGCTTATCCAGGTCCAGGGCATCTGGTTTAGATCAGCTGATGACTCATTGAAAGATGTATTCAGAGCAAGTCTCATCCTCTGTAAGCTCATCTTGGGTGACCAAAAGTAACAGAAGAGGGCCCTTGCTTTGTGGGGATCATGAGAAATCTCTCATCCCTCACCAATTCCTTCCAGCTGGAGTAGCCCTATTCTTATGTATTTTGTATAATGACACTCTGAGGGATAGGTGTATCATATGCAAAAAGAATAAACTCCACTTCAAACCTGGAAAATCATCAATTACATCAAGTTGGGCATTAGAAACTTGGCAGTGCCTCTTGAGAGATTTGTCAGTGGTGTACCGCTGTGGAAAATGCCCTGAGATCTTGGATTCAGTGTTGCTCTTAGAGTCAGTCAATTTGTGAGTCAACTGAGGAAAGTCAGTTGAACTTCCCTGCCGTTCTATGGCATTTTTGTTTGAAGGAGGAGAGGTGTTTGTTTGGCTCATGGTTTCAAAGGTTTCAGTCCATAATCACTTGACCTCATGCACTGGACAAGAGAGTAGTGGCACTGTATTTTGATGGGACAGTTCTTATCACTGAGGATGGGAGACTTTGGAGCTTTATATGAGCTCCAAAGGTATTCTCCTATTGACATAGTTCTGCTTGTTATGCCCTTCTGCCTAAAGGTTCTATAACCTCTCAGAATGGAGCTAGTGTCTGGGGGAACAAGAATTCAGGACGTGAGCTCATGGGGATCACTGGCGTGAGCCACATCATAACAACATTGGTTGGTGTTTCTGTTGCTGTAGCAGAGTATCTGAGATGGGGTAACTGAGAAAGAAAAGCAGATTTTAGCTGAAGGTTGTGGGAGTCTGGATGTCTAAGGCCTGGTGATGGTGTTAGCATTACATTCCAGTGAGGTGCTATGTGGTTTCAACTAATGACAGAAAATAGAAGTGCAAATAAAAGGGTGGACAAGGATCCATGGCCATAAGAACTCACTGGGTAGGGTCGGGACTCATGAGGCTATCATCACTTTATTCAGGCATCTCATTTGGTGGGAGAAATGAAAAACAATAGATTTCATAGCCCACTAGTCACAGAATTTTGATTTTGCATTCCAGATTTATCACAATAATTTAGTTATAAATTGTGATCATGTTTTAATTACAATCTCATCTAGATATGTTATGAACTGAATGTTTGTGCCCCCTTAAAATTTATATGTTGAGGGCTGGAGAGATGGCTTAGTGGTTAAGAGCACTGACTGCTCTTCCAGAGGTCCTGAGTTCAATTCCCAGCAACCACATGGTGGCTCAAAACCACCTATAATGAGATCTGGTGCCCTCTTCTGGCCTACAGGCAGGATACTGTATAAACAAACAAACAAACAAATCTTAAAAAAAATTTATATGTTGAATTCCTAACCTCCAATATGGGAACATGAAAGAGAAAAATTTGGTTACAGGAATGGCACACTCCAACAAGAACTTGTTGTCTTCCTCTGTGTTCCCCAAAGTTTGGGAGAGCAAGAAGGTCACCCTGACCAGAATTAAACCTTATACTCTGAACTTTGAGAAAAACTCTATTGAACTTGGAGAAAGAAATTGAAATCAGCCAGTCTGAGGTGCTGTGTTACAGCAGCCTGAGCTCACCCATATACTTATAAAACATTATCTAGGAGCATGAAAAAGGAAATAAAAGTCAATAAATATGAGAGGCAAATGTGTGTGCATATTTATTTTACTATTCCACATGTTCTTTCCTTATCCCAGACATATCTATGTACATATCCTGCTTTGGAGCCAACTCTTTTATGTATTATGGAAATAATCCCTGAAAGTATAGTTGAAGACAACTATGCCAAATGATTATAGTGATAAAAAGGGACTAAGATATTTTCTGGTAAATAGTTGTTAAAAAATAACTACCTTTTGTATTTACTAAGAAAAGAAAAACAAAGGACAATATAGATTACCCAAGTTAAAATATACAAAGATACACTTGATACTAGAAAGACAGCTCAGCGGTTAAGGGCACTTCCTGCTCTTTCAGAGGACCTGGGTTCAGTTCCCAACACTGATATTACTCTTGTAATTCTAGCTTCAGAGTCTGACACTTTCTTCTGGCTTTCATGGTCACATGAATGCATGTACACATGAACATACAAATACACACATATAAATAAAAAATGAGATAAAAAGACACACTTGAATGCAGTCCATCATATATTTTCTAGAAGATAAAAATATAACAATTGCTAAAATTATCATGCTGATAGGACATAAGGATCCACCAACTAATTGTCATGCTGTAAAGGAATGGCGAGGCATTTCTGTAGGTGTGACTCTAATAAGTAAAAGAACCAAAGCTAAACACATTTTAATACAGGAGTGGAAATTCGGCCAACATTTTCTTGCCTGAATCTGCTGAGGTCAAATTGTACTGACATAGTAAAGCAAGTGAAGATGTAAGCATCCATGTTTCCATCAGAACAGCCTCCTGTGGACATGTCAGTCCAGAGGACAGAACTCACATAGGCATGATGGTGTTTTTAGAAATTCATTACAGAAGCAGTAGCAAGAGAGAAAGGCAGAGGGGTGGTGAGCCCTTCTGTAAGTGAAGGGGTGTGGTCCCCAAATATGTGAGGGTAAGATCTTTGGCCTTGAGATAGAAAACTCAAGATTCCTGTAAAGATGTAAAGGCAAGCCCCTCTAGGATCAGGTCTCTTGCCAACCCTAAAGTGGTTCCCTTAACTAAGAATTGTGGTTCCGTGCTCCCCTGTCCCAGGTGCCCAAGCTGAGGTCCCCAGTTAGTTCCTTGGGCAGTTGAGAATAGGGAACCTGAAATGACCCTATCCTTGAGCAATACTGACGAATATCTTGCATATCATCATAGAACCTTCATCTGGTGATGGATGGAGATAGAGACAGAGACCCACACTGGAGCACGGGACTGAGCTCCCAAAGTCCCAATGAGGAGCAGAAGGAGGGAGAACATGAGCAAAGAAGTCGGGACCACGAGGGATGCACCCACCCACTGAGACAGTGGAGCTGATCTATTGAGAGCTCACCAAGACCAGCTGGACTGTGACTGAAAAAGCATGGGATAAAACTGGACTCTCTGAACATGGCGAACTATGAGGGCTGATGAGACGCAAAGGACAATGGCACGGGGGTTTGATCCTACGTAATATGATGGCTTTGTGGGAGCCCAGCCAGTTTGGATGTTCACCTTCCTAGATATGGACGGAGGTGGGAGGTCCTAGGTCTTACCACAGGGCAGAAAACCCTGACTGCTCTTTGGACTGGAGAGGGAGGGGGAAAGGAGTGGGGGGAGGGGGAGAAGGGTGGGAGGAGGGGGCGTAGGGGAGGAGGAGGGGGAGGGAAATGGGAGGCTGGGAGGAGGTGGAAACTTGTTTTTTTTTTTCTCCATTTCTCAATAAAAAAAAAAACACTGGAAAAAAAAAAAAGATGTAAAGGCAACTCCCAATTAGCTCTGCCGAGTTGCCAGTATACATTTGAGAACAAGAAGTTACCACAAAGGGATGACTATTCTAAGACTTGACAAGACGAGTGAAAATAACGTATTTTAAAGCAGACCTTGATTCTTTTAACTAGCTAAGTTTTGAACTCTTCCTGGAATAACTCTTGATTTCTTACCTTGCCATACTTCTGTGCGTAAGAGCCAGTGAGGAGAGAGTGGAAGACAATGATGGTTTCATCCAAGTCCCAGACGAATACACGCTGAGGAGAAATGGCCAGTGTCAGCACAGTTATGGTTGAAGGACACAGGACTTTATAGTTGGAAAATGTTCTTGCTATAAGCAGCCTTGAGTAGTCTATAACAAATCACCCCTTCCATTATTTATTCATTTGTCATTTGCCAAGTCTGACTGTCGGAGAACCTGGCGACGTGGGTGATAGAACTTATCAAAAGCTTAATGATCAGGTGTCCTGACTGGAATGAATACAAACAACATTTGATCACAGTTACCGTGAAAAAGATAAATTCTGGCTGTATGATTAGAAGGGGGTCTAATGTTGATATATTTTATAGTTTTAGACCTCCATGGATTCATTACAGTTTGAAATAGAAGACATCAAATATTTCCAAAACAGTCTATGAATAGCATCTAAATAGCAACTGTAAAATGCTGACCCTTGTGTCATATAGGATGGTGAATGTGTTGTTTGGCCTGGCAGGACTTATAAGAGATCTCAAAGGACTCAACAAATTTAGGAGATTTCACCCAGATACTATGGGTTTGACTCTGGAAGGGAATCTGGAGTTTGGACCACACTGAATTACACTCCACAATTGCAGGATGGTGAAGCCCTGGGATGGGTCACTATTTCTGCCCTGCCACCTGCCAACTCGGATCTCTAGCTGTCATTTATCATGTCACCAACCAGGCTTCAGAATGCATCTCATCTCTCGAGTATAGCCATATAAATCTTTCAGAAAGAGGCACAATATCTGCTGTTTGATTTGAGGTACAACTGGAATTTTTTAATTCAGTTAAAATATGTAGCTGTGTAATTGTGTAGCATTATAGTAAATGAGAGTTTCTCAGTGTTTTATGATAGAAACTCAACTTGCTCACAAAAAGCTCACAAATGGAAAAATACAGTAAAAGCCCACAAAATCAATAGATATTCATTAACAAGATTTTTTCTTTCTACACAGATTGCTTTTATCTTCTTAAAAATCTGTTTTCTTGGGATATTATTCCACAAATAATAGCTTTATTTTTAGCCTTTTTAAAATCAGGTTAGATCAACAGATGAAATTATGTTGGTATTCAACTTTCAAAGTTCTCTTGCCTTTGACATTACTGTTTTAAATTTTGGTATTATAGTAGACAAATATCCCCAAATTCAAACTGATAAAGTAGCTACGACAAAGCAGGTCCATTCAATTTATGATACATATTTTAATTTGGAAATGTACTAGGCTCTAAAGTATGGATGATACCACTTAGTAAAATTGAGTATCTTATGTTCCTCAGAGATAAGCAAGCATACCTCCAGGTCACTGTCCGGAGGTGGTGAGGGGTTGTTTTTCCGGCCTCTTCCTCGAGACTTTGACCCAGAACTTCTACATGTTCTGTCATCGAGGTCTTTGATTGGTGTGGAGGGGCTCTGCACCGTATCAAACTCTCCTATAAACAAAAGGATTGTGTCAGGAAGAGCTGCTTACTTTTAGAACAATTACACGTCTTCATTATTACTTCACAAGTTCCTACACACGAGTGACCTCTTTATCACAAAAAATATAGTTCGTATATGTAAAGTTGTAATTTAGTCAACAAATTGTATAGTCATATAAACTCCTCATAGAAATCTGAATGCCTTTAATATACCATATACATTCAGCTTCCTGTCTGTACTTTCATCTCCATTTTATCTGTATTTTCATCGAGTCTCACCTCCATTTGGGTCTCATTTCAGAGAACATGATGTCTTCTGGATCAACCCACGCTTCCCCCACAAACATGCCTTCCCAACCCCACCTCTTACTGAATCTGCCCCCTCACTTCTTTCCTGTCTGATCTTCCCTTTACCTGGGCCACTTGCAAATTTAAATCTTCTTCTTGACCACAAATTTCTATCGAGCCATGCTTTGCTTACTATTTTCTTATTCAAAGGAAACTTCTTAAGACAATGATTCGTACTAGTGCTACTCAGTAGAAATAAATGAAAGTCCCAAGATTGATTACAAAATTTTAAATTTCTAGCAGTTACATTTCAAGGCAAAAAGAGACCCATAAAATGAACTCAACATATAAAATGTTAGCTCAATATAAACAACATATCATTTTGGCATGTTATTGATAAATAAAATTAGCAAGAAAATTTTTACCATTATTACTTTTATTACAATTTTTGAAATATTGTGCTTATTACAATCATTTCAATGTGTGGTATATGTGTTGGAAGTGCTTAGTAGCCATAAATGGACAGAAGTCACACAACTATATAATACAATTCCTTCCACTGATTGATATCTAACTTACTAAAATTTAATTTCAGATCACCAAAACATGAATACACATACTTTACCAAGAGTCCCGAATAACCAACAGCTTGTCAAATTCAATATACAGGCTCAGTCCTTATCTTTCCAGACAGGAGATATCGTTGATGCTATTCAACATACCTGCCTAGAGTTAGTATTTGTTAAATGACAGCCTGTGGATTGTTAGTTCTGGCCTTCCTCTCAAATGTCTTTCTACCTAGGAGTCACAGACTTATCCTGTCGTGCTCAGGGCATGGTATCTAGGAGGTCTGACATTCCTACTCTACACATTCTGCATGGTGTAAGCTTCTCATATGCTAATGCCGCTCTAAGTGAGAACCCAGAGCAAGTCACTCCCTCCACTCAGTCAGCATGTGAAGTCTCAGATACTTTATCTAATTGACTTCTGTATGTCTACAGGTTCCTAAAATCCAGACTCATGTAAAATTAGTGACCATGAATCTTGGGAAGCAGGCAGCACTGCCAAGGCCAGCATTAAGATAAACTGAACTACATAAGGCACAGTGTAACGGGTCATCTAGACTTGCAATAGCACTTCAAGGATTTCACTCAGTTTCACTGGACCTCAGTTTCAGTATATATTGAATTCTGGATAAGAAGCTTTTTAAAATTATTGAAGATGAATCAGAATTGTATTTAATTTAAACCATATGTGGAAAATGAAAATCTCTTTAACTTAAATTAAATTTAACTTACATTAAATTTAAATGATGTGTTTATAAACAAAGAGTAATATGATGATCTTAATTTATCATTAAATTTAAAATAAAATTTAGTATGATAAATCACAGGGCATTAAGTAATTCTGAACAAATGGCACACAGTGCATGGCTTTCCGGAGACACAGTAATCATTACAGAACGAACCTCTTATCATTTCTTTTGATAACGACATTTTATTTGGGAAGAATTGCATGGTACAAGATCAGAAATATATCTTAGCTATCTTTCCCCATAAATAGAAGGGGGAAGAGAGGAGATAGAGGGACCACGAAGAGGGGCAACTAAAACTAAGGGTCATTTGAGGAGTCATATGGCAACCTAATAAAGTAGAAACTTCTCAAAATGTATACATATATGAAGATTATCTAAATAAAGTTGCCAATAAGAGGGGAGACAGAGCCCCTATTGGGTATCTTTCATCACGAAATGAAGTTTCCAGTGTTGGGAATGGGGTGCATGTAATCAAGTTGTTTGACAAAGAGGTCTCCATGGAAACCCCCAAACAACCCTGGCTATTGCTGAGACTATTGGTGGCCCTATTGCTGAAGACTGCATCTACACAACTAACTGAACGTGGAGAAGTTGAGCTTGTGCCTACCTACTCACTAATGTCTATTGTACTGGAAGGTATTCTGCATGTTGTTAAAGGAGAACCCAGCTACAAACCCTTTGATCTACAAAGGTGATCTGCATGTAAGGTGCGCTAATGCCACAGTGGCAGAAACCAACCAATATTTGATTGTATTTAAGACCCCGCCCTATGAGAGAGAACCCATTCTTGACACTGCTTGTAGGAACCTAGCACAAAAAAGACTCCTAATGATATTCTGTTATACTTATAGACCAACATCTTGCTCAGTCATCATCAAAGAAGCTTCCTCCTGTAATAGATGAAATAAATACAGAGACCCACAGCCGGATAACGTGCAGAGTGTGAGAGACCTTTAGACATTCAAACCGAAACAGGATGCCTCCATCAAATACTTCCATGTAGGGCCCATGAACCTTCTCAAAAACAAGGTGGAAAGGGTGTAAAAGCAAGAAGGGATGGAGGGTACCCAGAAAACAAGGCTTTCAAGACATACCAGGGCTGGTGTGTGACCTCACACAGACTGTGATAGCATCTACAGGGCCTGCACAGGTCTGGGCCAGATGGAGTCCTAGAGCTGAGAGGGGAAGTGGACACAGTCCCCATCCCTAACACATACGCTATCTCCAATGACAAACTATTTGCAAATGAAAGATAGTTTTCTCTAACGGAATCTTACCACTAGGTATACAAACACACTTAAGGGCAGGTCCCATGCTCAGCGGTACATGACCAGCACAAAACCAACTCAATGGTTTAGAGGTTTGTTTTTTTTTTCTTCTCATAATGTTTTGTTTATGCTTGCCTTCATTCCTTCCTTTTTACCATTTCTTAAATTCTATTCAGGTTTGTTTCATACTATTTGGGCGAAGTACCTATTTGTTTTCTAATGAGAAAGAGTAAGAAAGGGTGTGGATTTGGGTGAGTGGGGAGAATCTGGGAGGAGTTGGGGAAAGGGAAACCACAATCAGGATACATTTAATGAAAAATATATTTTCAACAATGAGGACTACTGAGAACTCAAGAACAATGGCAATGGATTTTTGATCCTACTGCACGCACTGGCTTTGTGGGAGCCTAGGCAGTTTGGATGCTCAACTTACTAGACCTGGATGGAGGTGGGGGTTCCTTGGACTTCCCACAGGACAGGGAACCCTGATTGCTTTTCGGGCTGGGGGGGGACCTAATTGGGGGGAGGGGGAGGGAAATGGGAGGCGGTGGCGGGGAAGAGACAGAAATCTTTAATAATTAAATAAATTTAAAAAAAGAAAAAATAAACTAAGAATATAAAAATAGTCTTAATATAAATGTCATTGTCTCTCAAAATATTGCTAGTAGAGATCACTGTACCTCTTCCACTATCATGACTGACAGGAGGGACATCCAAACAAAAATATTTTAAGCACAAGTTTAGATATTGCTTTATCTTGCGGAAACTTAAGTTTCAACTTATTCAGATAGACATTAGAAATTTGAATGCATAGTAACCTTTAAGTGAAACCACATGAACCATTTCCTTTCCTCCACTCTTACAGTGAAACCATAATTTCCTTAGGTTATTAAATCATGCAAATCAAATGCCTTCCTTTAAATAACATGAGTCAAATTAATTCTTACTTTAAAATTTTATTTTTATTTATGTGTATTCATGTGAGTATGGGTATGTCCACATACACTTGTGTCCAGGAAAGTCAGAAGATGACATCAGATGCCCCAAGCTGAAGTAACAGCTGTTTGTGAGCCACCAGACATGGATGAGTACTGGGAACCAAACTCAGGTTGGTCTGCAGGAACAGAGAGTGCTCTTAACCACTGAGTCATCTTTCTAACCATAAACTGACTGTTACTTTAAAAGCAAGATTAAACAGAATTCTTTTGGGGTGTCATTTATAAAACCTTTCTTTTTGCACACATGCACACACCCAGACACACACACACACACACACACACACACATTGTTCTTGTTTATTCATTTTTTGTGTGTGTTTTTGAGAAAAGGTATTATGTTAGTATCAAATTTCCTGTGTAGTTAAAGGTGACACTGAACCCCAGATCCTCTTGCTTTTTCTCCCCAAGTGCTGGAATAACAGGTGTACCTGTGACCCTTGGCTTTATAATTTTTTGTAGGTCAATTTTTAAAGTGTTATTTTCAGAAAAGTAGCTTTTTATTTTGGTAGCAGTGTAAGAGTTGAAAGAAGAGAAAATTGCAAACTTCCAGTCATGGTCTGAAGTTGCAGGCAGGGTAGCTGGTGGCAGGCTGGGTTCATACTGAAGGAATTTAACAGAAAGAAGCCAGCCATTTAAATCTGATACTCAGCAACTATCACAGTGTTGAAGGGAAAATGGGATCACAGGAAGTGTGTGGGTTTCTAGGCCCAGGAGAATCTCTTCCCATTGATTCTCTGCCAGTTTAGTTAAGGATCTTCAAAGTATTTTAAGGATACGGAGGAAATAAATAAACAAGTGTTTTCTTGAGAGTAAAACAGGCCTTTGGAAGAAAACTGCAAAGTATGGCCCCATTTTAATTAAACTCTTAGTTTGAGCACACAGTGCCTTTTTAAAAGAAGTATATAAACACGTTTTTGGCTTGATTCCCAGCTCATTATGTTGGTGAGAACTCGGAGCAATTGTTTGTTCTTTTTTTAATTTGTCTAGAAATCCCTCAAGCAAATCTGCATACTTCATCCTTTCTGCCAATTGCCATTTAGGTCAGGAACACTGTTAAGGAGTTATAAACAAAACTCAATAATGTGCTGACTGTGTGCAAGTGAGCTCTCTCCCCACATGGGTATCTAGTTACACTCAGCA